AGAAAGCCAGGCTCTCGATTTACCGGTCGATCTACGTCCCAATCCTCACCTATGGTCATGAGCTTTGGGTAATGACCGAAAGAACGAGATCGCGGATACAAGCGGCCGAAATGAGTTTCCTCCGTAGGGTGGCTGGGCTCAGCCTTAGAGATAGGGTGAGGAGCTCGGACATTCGGGAGGGACTCGGAGTAGAACCGCTGCTCCTCCGGATCGAAAGGAGTCAGTTGAGGTGGTTTAAGCATCTGGTCAGGATGCCTCCTGGACGCCTCCCTGGGGAGGTGTTTCGGGCATGTCCTGCCGGTAGGAGGCCCCCAGGTCGACCCAGGACACGTTGGAGAGGTTACATCTCCAATCTGGTCCGGGAACGCCTTGGGGTCCTGCCGGAGGAGCTGGTGGAGGTGGCCGGGGAGAGGACGGTCTGGAGCTCCCTAGTTGGGATGCTGCCCCCGCGACCCGGACCCGGATAAGCGGAGGAAGACGATGACGACAACCTCCCATTTATGCCACACTGTACTATAGTGCGGACAAAATGCTGTGCTAGCTTTGGGTAGCGCTGATATGCGAACAAAAGGCTAGGCTAACTCCAGGCTAGTTGTAGTATGCCTACTAGCCTAGCTTGCCCATTAACATCTTCGGTTAGTATTTGTGTTTGTGCATATTAAGTTATTTATTGTTTTCTATTCATAAAAAGATATAACTCTGGAACTGTGCGCCGATGAGAGCCAGGACGTGCCCGACACCGGGGACATGAACGCTGGGCCCTCATCTGGCGACTGCAGCCGTAGCTGCAGCCCAAGCGTCTCAGCGTCATCGGTGGACAGCAGACCACGCTACGGTGAGTTCATTTGCAACAACAACATCAAAATATGACAAGCACGTGTAATTACATAATCATCTTTTTGGCGTTTATTCAGGAAAAAGGAGGTGGGGGAGCACCAACGTGTCACCGTTGTTGGAGACGCTGGTGGAGAGTGACGCGGGGTTCCTGGAGACTGCGAGGAAGACGAACTGTTTAACGGAGCAGCACATTGAGTCAGAGACGGAAGACAGACGCCTGCAGAGGGAGGAGAGACTTCAGGAGAGGGATGATAGACGAGAGGAGAGGATAGAACAGCGGGAATTCAACCACGCCTTCTTGGATGCGCTGCATAGTTTGGTGTCTGCGGTAGAAAAATCTACTAAATAAATGACCTGCATATGTTTTTATTTTTGTTGTTAAATAGAGGTGCATTAAAGTGTTGGACAATGCAACGTTTAATCCATCACGGTGTCCATTTAACCGAATGTGAAGTGGAAGGGTCCAATTATAGTTTCAATATAAAACTGTGTGCTAACATAGCATACACCAGCCTTGGATATTTGCTTTATTCAACTTTGAGATTTATATAGGAATAAATACCAGGTAGGAGTCAGTGTACACAAGATTAGGTTATATGTCATCAGGAGTGTAGAGCAGGATCAGAAGCTCAAATGTGCCCTCCACACTTGGCTTAATAATAACTTTTGTCAGTCAGGCATCAACGTAAACCAGAGTCCAAATATTTACTTGCACTTGCCTTAATAACCAGACTCGAGACATATGGCTAAGCCTTGGATGTGCATAAAAACAATTGCTTAAGTCAGCATTGTCTAGCTGATCTACGTTAATTCTGACATGATGTCCATATCATTTATTTGGATTTAAAAGATAGTTTTTTTTTATTCTTTTTGTCAGCAGGCGTGTTTAGAAGTCCCAGAAGCTCTAATGTGTACAGTCCACACTTGACTTTATACAAACTCATGAAACATATTTGCTCATGTTTACAATTTTTAGGTGGTGGCGCATAAAAGAAAGTTCAAAGGTCAAACATTTGCTGAGTGGATAAAACTTTGAGAAAAACATTCAGTCAGATGTAATCCAATCACTGCTGCCCCACAAGGTGCATCATCAGAGCATCACACTTTGCTTTCCCTCCCACATCTGTGTTTAGTGGCGGTGGGGTCGGTGCAGCCGCAGGTTCAGGGTATTCTGTGTCAGTCGTCCACACATTGTCATAATGCTCCCCGTGGCTCTCACACAGATTATGCAGGGCACAGCAGGTCAGAGTCATGGAACGCACCAGACTGACATCACCGTCATTCCTTTGAAGTAGGCAGCGCCACCTTCCCTTCAGCCTACCAAAGGCATTTTCAACCACCACACGTGCCCGGCTGAACTTCTTGTTCAAAAGAAGTTGCTGCTCTGTCAGTCGCCCAGTGTCTGTGAATGAGATGCCAGTCTTGCAGCGGGTAAGCAGAGTCACCCAGGATGCTGTATCCAAAGTCAGCGTCAGCAATTTGGATTGAATGGTCAGGGAAGAGATTTCCACGGCTTGCCAAATCCCAGATGGAGGAAAGTCTCAGTACCCTCGCGTCGTGCACGCTCCCTGGAAGCCCTGCAAAAACGTTCCAAAACAGTCCCTGTTGGATAAACTATGGATACATTATTTTATTATTTTTTAAACGAAAGCTTCATCCAGTTTATTTTACCCTGGCAACAGACAGGCGTTTGACCTTGCCTCTCTCCAGTCCTGGCTTATCAGTAAGAACGCCATGTGCCCGCGCGTGTTGTCTCCCTTTCAAGAGTCTAAAGGAATGTGTGTGAATGTGTGTGCGTTTTATCATTTTGTGTGTTCTTAAGAAATGCTTTTTGAGGGTTCTGTCTGAGAGAGCCAATTGCCTGAATCGTTTCATCTCTCTCCACTTTGCAAAGTCTAAATTGTTTATTGGTAAAGATTGGTATGGGTTAATCGATCGGCTTATAAGTATGACCCCTGCGTGTTGAACTTTTCCTCAGGTAACCCTGGGTGGGAAGATGAAATTACCTAACAGTCCCTTTCCATCAACCACAGCTTGCAAGATGAGTGAGTGCCACCCTTTCCGGTTGAAATAGTCTGTGTGAAAGGTTCTGGGTGCTATGATGGGGACGTGTGAGCCATCAATAGCACCCACACACTGTGGCAACCCCCCCTGCTCTCAAAATAGGACGCCATCTCCCGAAATGTACCCTCATCGGGTAAATGAATCAGCTCTGGCAACAGCAATGCTTCTGCAGCAGCACAAAAGTCCTTGACACACTTGGCAACAGTTGAGATGCCAACACCAAACAGAACACTGATGGGTCTGTAATGTGAACCTGTAGCAAATTTCCACAAAGCAATAGCCACAATCTTCCTCAGAGGCACACACTCACGGAAGAAAGTGTCTTTTCGCTGCAATGCTGGACGCAGTTTGTTGCACAGGAACATGAACGTCTCCTCAGACATTCTGAAGTGCTGCAACCACTGCGCTTCCGTGTAACGAGGCACGTAATTATCCCACCAGTCAGAGGATCGGCTGAGTGACCAGATTGCGCGTCTGCGGCTGGAGCCTTCCAAAACAGCCATCGAAAACAAATGAAACGTATTTTATTAACTTGAAGTGTATTAAACACTCACGTTAGCATTGGAATTTTAGACATTACCAGGATGCGTCGTCTGCGTTGTCGTAATCGCAGCAATGTGTTGTACTGCTGCAGAATGGCTTCCTGCATGTCTCAGCAACGTTTTGCAGATTTCATCCTCCTCTCAACCCTCCTCAGCTGGCGAAGCCGACGCCTTTCGGCCTGTCTGGCGCGAAGTCTGGCCCCCAAAACGAGCCATAAGCGGCAAACCATGAAAAATAACATGACGAAGTTCTCCATTGTTTACAACACTACACATGTATCACCACAGGGCGGCTCAAATGGTCGCTGATATATGACATCACTGACATCTTAGCGCCAATTTCTCCCGCCAATTTCTGGGGACCGCCCCCATGCGGATGTGACTCTCATCAGTCACATCCGCATTCGAGAGCAGGGACGTGAGGAATCACTCGGGCCGGGCTGGGGCCGACCACCAGGTACAGATGGGAATGACCCATAAGTCTCCTCCCTTTCCGGTCGGCTCATGGGTCCCCGGAGGAAGGAAAAAATAAATGCAAGTCATCGGGGCTAAAAACGCTATTTTCTAACCCGCGTTGCCTTTCGCCCTGGATCACACATATGTTGTTCTGCTATTTAAATGTAAACTAATGATGGCGTTTCGACCACGCCAGTCATGTACTTTAAGATTGATTAGCTTGCAAAAGTTCGTAATTAGCATGACTACAAACCAGAAATCGGTACGCCGCATATTTGACATCACCACATAATCTCCTCCCCCTAGAGTAGCTGCTACTGACCAGATGACCAGATTCATGGTGGTTCTTTCCTCCTGTGGGAAGTTTGCTGAACTTACAGCCCTTTTCCCTCAGTTTTCTCCGTGTCTGGTTCGATGACGTCACCTTGGTGAAGCGCTTTTGTAGTCCTGGACTTACTTTTACACAAAACCTAAAATATCGTTTCTCCCGTTTGAAAATAAGCTCGTTCTTGGTATCAAAATGTGTATTTAAAATTCACGGACATCATATGTGAAATCCATGGCACAAAACAACTGTTTTAAGCCTTGCATTCATTTTCTCGTTCTTCCTGGGACCCGTGGTCCGGAAGTAGACCTAGGCTCCCTGTCGTGATGGGAGTGTCAGATGGGAGGATTGACCGCAGAGCAGAGCTGAAGTCCTTGACCAGGATCCTGGCGTAGGTACCCAGGGAGTCCAGATGCTGCAGGATGAAGTGTAGAGCCATGTTGACTGCATCTTCTACCGACCTGTTGGCAAACTGCAGGGGTCCTGTCTGCTGGGGACTTGAGGTGGGGGAGAACCAGGTGCTCAAATGGTTTCATGACTTTATTTCTTGTTAGTGTATTGTTAACTAGTATTATTTTAATTAAATCATAACTAAGAAGTTTTAAAATAAAATATTTCATTCAAGGTAGGCTGCGCAGTGGTGAAGTGGTTAGCGCTGTTGTCAAAGTTGGGCATTTTATGCAGTGCACCTTTATTGTGCAGGAGTCCGTTTTTGCTGTGGTTACCAACTGCATGTTTTTTTTTAGATGTTTGCTTGTTTACTTGCATGTTTGTTATTTGTTTTTTGAGCATGGGACAATGAAGTTCCAAATGAGAGCAGCTGCGCAGCTCATAATCACAGACCTGTACGGCTCGGGATTGGACCGTTGAGGGGGTTGGATCTTTTATAAGGACACTGACAGGTGAAGGAGGGGTGTGCAGCAACAGAGCAACAGCGGGATCTGCACTCCTGAAACCAGCTTGGATTGCAGCACAGGTGCTTTCTGTTTCCTGGGAGAAACCAGAGGATGCCGCGGGAGGATCCAACCGTGAAACCAAAATAATTCAGCGCCTACCAAACAGCTAAGTAAAGGAACGTGAAATATTGTTGCTGTAACCTGCGTGCCTGTGGATTCTGGGGAGAAGTGAACGCTCCCCCTGAAGTATTTCCTTGTGTTTTCCTCACAGAGGCAGAGCAGTGGAGAGAAGAGGAGCGGGACAGCGGCACCCCCCCGGCTGATGACGCGTTGAAGTGGACGCAACAGTTGACGGAATCGGGCATCTCCCGGAGTCTGCGGATGACATCATTGATATTGTCAGCAGTGTCAACTGAGACAGGACTGGGTGTGAGGGGGAGACAGACGCGCAGCACGCAGCGGACACGCAAGGACCTTTTAAGCGATGCTTTTCCTCGCACTGACGTTAATCCGGTAAAGCCGGGCGTACACTGTGCGACTTTTTCACTTTTTTGAGCCGATTTTCCACTCGTGCAAGAATCCACGAGATCGGGGCGAGTTTTGCGCCGAGCGTCGTGTAGTGTACAGGGGGTTACGAGAGGCGATTAACACCACGTGACCAGCTACCGATCAACAGTCTGAGGTCGCACGGACTTCTGGCGTGTTTAATATTTTGCTCGTCCCTCGTGAGGGTATCGCACTGTTGAAGCGGCGCTGCGAGCAGCTGCGACCCAAAAAGTATCAGAACCGCTCACGGCGCATGCGCAATCCTGCATCAACACCGCTTGCCCGCTATTTCCCTAATAACACACGTTGTTCGTTTTAATTACTACACTTTTTTTACTCACAAATATTGTCAAGAAAGCATGTTTCTCGTGTTCATGTCAAATTAAACTGATCACAAAACACAGATTTACTTTCTTTATTTTGTTTTCCTCATCCAACCCCCATAAATTCCTGCGTGTCCTCCTGCAGCACTCCCGAAGGACAATAGGCAAGACAAAAAAGTCTAACGTGATGAGTAAAAACTGCTATTTTTGCATATTTTTTAGGGACGACGTGTTGCTACCAGACGTACATTGTGAGCGCATGACTCGTGAGATCTGCCCTGTGAGGAAGTCGTACAGTTTGAGCTGAAGCTGAGTGCTAAGAGTGAAAAAGTCGCACAGTGTCCGCCCGGCTTATAGGAAACGAATCATTTCATCCGGGTATCTCATCGGGTCTGCTTTAGTCCTCTAAGGCCGTTTTATTTGCTTCTGTTCATTTTATTGTTGTTATCTGGACCGGGGGTTCGGGTGGAAGATCCCGGAGGTGATGAGTCGTCCCGAACCGTGTCGGAGCATCGCTGTCCATGGTCCTGAATGAGACATAGCCCTTGAGACCCGGTGAGGAGAGGGGGTGTGGTCGGAGGTGTATGCTGCTTAGTCAAGGTATGTGTGTGTGTGTGTGTGCACGCGATTGGATCATGCTTGCTGATTTTCCCTGGCTGAGACGAGCACGCCAGCACACCTGGCTGAGATTAGAACCTGTCCAAGGTCCTGAAAGTTCACACGAGAGAGTGTGCAGGTCTTGGCCCAGAGCCAGAGTCCTGCGTCGGTAACAGTCCTTAAAATTGAAATTTAACAGAGATCCATGGAATAAGTATCTAATATAATATACTGTAAACAAGAAATTTCTCCCAATGTTTACAGTCATCCATGGAATCATGACAAACACGGCTATTTTTTTCATAAATAAATCATGATAAACAGTATATTTTTGCTAATAATTATACTACGGTTCTGTATTATTGAGTAATATCACCTATGTAAAATAAACCGTGCTTAATAAGCGTGTTTCTACACTGTAAACAAGAGTGAATCTGTCGTAACACACTACAGTAGGAATATTTGACGAGGAAGCATGTATAGTCAGAACACAGGCGCCAGAGCGTAATGTCTTCAGTCACTGTGGGCGAGATGTAGATAGAGAAAGCAGCAAGGCAGAGAGGAAGTGTTCTGAAGTTTGGGTCCACTTCAATAAATGGGATGGGTAACTGGGTGATGATGAAACCAGCAACAACCATCTAAGTGAGGCAACATAATCTTAATCTGTTCCGGTAGGAAAATAAAAGGTTTAAGACAATGTTAGCGTGATTTGTTAGCTTCCGTTCGGCTAATGGTGTGTTTGCTTTCTCCTTGGAACTCCGAAATTCCAACTAGAAGAAAGCAAACGCGCTCTAAAGTTTAGCTTCACGTCACTAAACGCAATGGGCTGTTTGGTGATGATGAAACCAGCGACAATGATCTGAGTATGAGGCATCTTAATCTGCTTCAGCAGCTAAATAAACTGTTAGCTTGATAGTTTAGCTTTTGTTTACATTGCTATCAGCTAATGGTGCATTGGCTTTCTCCTCAGAAATTCCAACTTCAGAGTAGGAAAAACCAACAGTTTGAAAATGACCGGCAAAAGGAATGAAGATACACAGCAATGTTTTCTTCAGTTTAATTTGCAGCCTTTGCTACTACAAGGACCCACCATCACACAAATTGTCCAGAGGAGAAAGGAGAGGAATAGGAGTGCACGGATACAGTTTGAATGTTATTAATCATATTTATCAAATATGGTTATAGATTGGAAAAACAATATATAATTAATTAAAAAAGATATTTAAATAATTATTAAACACTCAAACGTGTCAAAAATTGGTGCAGTTAAGTATCAGTATCGATTTGTAGGTACTGAGGATTGGTACCGTATCGATTCAAACGTCAAAGGTATTCATCCCTACTTCCGACAGAACATCAGAAATGTTTAGGGGGAGGCGGGGGACATTGAGTACGAGTGAACCCTGTCATGATCATGTGGGGAGTTACTGCCGAGCTCTGGCCTCTGGAAGAAGCAGGGGACTGTTCTGTTCTGGTCCTGTTGGACCTGACTGCAGCCTTTGACACTGTTGACCATCACCTGCTACTGGAGAGGCTCAGAGACTGGGTAGGCCTATCAGGATCTGCTCTGGAGTGGTTCTCCTCTTATCTCTCTGAGCGCTCCTTTTCTGTGGCCGTCTCCAAGTTTAGGTCCTCCACCACCTCCCTTACCCATGGTGTCCCACAAGGTTCTGTGCTGGGGCCTCTGCTCTTCCTCCTCTATCTGCTTCCTCTTCAGCACATCCTGAGCTCCTTCAAAGGAATCTCCTACCATCTTTATGCAGAAGACATCCAACTGTACATCTCCTTCAAGCCCCATGAGATGTCTAAGCTGCAGCTGTTACACACCTGCTTAGACTCTATCAAAACCTGGATGGTGGGAGCTTTCTTCAGCTGAATGAAGATAAGACTGAGATCCTCATCTGTGCCCCAGACAAGCTGGTTCCCAAAGTCAGAGACTCTCTTGGTCAGCTTGCTTCTCACACCAAACCTTCCGTCAGGAATCTTGGCGTGACCTTTGACCCAGCTCTCACCCTGGATTCTCATGTCAGTTCTCTTGTTGGCTCTTCCTTCTTCCATCTCAGGAACGTTGCTAAGCTGAGTGCCATTCTGTCCCGCTCTGAACTTGAGACAGTTCTCCACACCTTCATCTCCTCACGTTTAGACTACTGTAACTCTCTTTTCACGTGTCTGAGCAGAACCTCCCTGAACCGTCTACAGGTGGTTCAGAACGCCTGTGCTCTGCTTCTGACCAAGTCCTCCAAACACACCCACATCACCCCGCTTCTCCTCCAGCTTCACTGGCTGCCAGTCAACTTCAGGGTTCATTTCAAGATCCTGGTTCTGGTCTATAGGGCCCTACATGGACAAGCACCATCTTACATTGGTGCTCTTCTTAGTCCCTACACCCCCAGCAGGTCCCTGAGGTCCAGTGATCAAAGCCTACTGGTTGTGCAGCACCAGGCTAAAGGTCAAAGGTGACAGATCATCTGCTGCTGTGGCCCACAGACTCTGGACCTCTCTCCCCCTGAGTCTGAGATCAGTGGACTCAGTGGTCTCCTTCAAAAAGCAGCTGAAGACTCACTTGTTCAAGCTGGCTTTTGTATGACCTTCTTCACCACCCTCTCTTTATTCTGCTCTCCCCACCTATTCCACCTTCCTCAGGATCCACTGATTACCCTCTTTCCTGTTCACTCTCTCTCTTTCTTAACATTTTTTTCTTTTAAATCCCAATTGCCTATTTTTGCTCATTTTAAATATATTTTTAAACATTTTCTAAATGCTTTTTTATATTTTAACATTTTTTTTGTTTTTGTGAAGCGCCTCGCGACTTTTATCTTTAGAGGCGCTATAGAAATGATATTTTCTTCTTCTTTGTTGAAAATGAAATCCAAAGGTTTCAAATGAAAGCACCTGGACGTCTTTGGTTTCTTGAAGACGTTTTGCTTCTCATCCGAGGAGCTTTGTCAATTCTAACTGGACTATGGGAGTCAAGCTTATAAGCTTGGATGAGAAGCAAAACGTCTTCAAGAAACCAAAGATGTCTAGTTGCCTTCATTTGAACCCTTTGGATTACCATGACCTGGATGACTGAGAACCTTTACCAGCATTGAAAATGAAAGTAAACACGGGCAACAAGTTTTGCTTTGTAAAAGAAATCAGTTGAGATGATAAACTGGAGTGATGCAGAGCTCCAGGAGCTTTTCTCTGTTAGAGCTGGAGCTCAGACCACCAAAGACTGCACGTAGACTGTGGAGGACGCCTATAGAATCGACTTATAATAAAAAACTTAATGAGCACGGCTTTGATTGCAATAAAAAGCAAGTTATGTCAAAGATAAACAGAAGTCCATGGCAGTGCAGAGACCACCCCATACTCCATAAAGCTTCACTTAATCTTTCGTAAAAAGGACAGTTGCCCCACATTATCGCCAAGGTCTGACCAGTTGGTCATTAGACAGGATCTACAACCAGAAAGAAGTCTCTTTAGGCTTTTGGACAACAAACAATGTGACAGATGTTAGTCTGCCATACACTGTTGAAGATGAAAATACTCTTTTCTTTTCTAAATAGGGAACTTAAATACATCTATCTGTTCTTGATTAAAATAAAAGCACACGTCGAATAGTCCAAAGTTGATAACAAAGTTGTTTCAGATGATCCAACAGCATCTTTTCCCACTCTGTCGCATTATCATGCCTATTAAACATCCATCCATTTTCATCCGCTTATCCGGAGTCGGGTCGCATCCATTTTCATCCGCTTATCCGGAGTTGGGTCGCAGGGGCAGTAGCCTAAGTCAAGAGGCCCAGACTTCCCTCTCCCCAGCCACTTGGACAAATAGAAACAATCAAACCAATAGAACATTGTAATTGGCAAGCCACCAGACTTGCCAGAGCTGCGGAGGTTCCAATGGAGCATGGCAAGAAGACTGTCCTGTTGTGGTAGGAAGCTCCTATAACCCCATGGCCCCACCCCCGCTCGCTACTATTGCCACAACATTTTTAAAACCAGAGGAAAACCTGGATGCCTACAACAGCTGACACAAAAGGTCCTGGGTCAGTCAGGAGGACTACAAAAACTGCAGTCCAAGCAATCATATGATTGTGTTGTTTGAAATAACAATTTTGATCAAAAAACAATACATCGTTCAGCCATAGTGGACTCTCATGTGATTTTTTAAAGTTGTGTTTTTGTTAAAATTTTGTCCACAGAGTTCACAAGCATAAGGCTTCTGTCCAGTGTGGATTCTCATGTGAGTGTTTAAATGTGTCTCTCGGCTAAATCTTTGTCCACAGAGCTCACAAGTAAAAGGATTCTCCCCTGTGTGGACTTGCATGTGTTTGTTTAAAGTTGATGTCTGACTAAATCTTTGTCCACAGAGCTCACAAGTAAATGGCTTCTCCCCTGTGTGGACTCTAATGTGACTGTTTAAAGTTGACGTCTGGCTAAATCTTTGTCCACAGAGCTCACAAGCAAAAGGCTTCTGTCCTGTGTGGACTCTCATGTGAGTGTTCAAATGTGTCTTTCGGCTAAATCTTTGTCCACAGAGCTCACAAGTAAAAGGCTTCTCCCCTGTGTGGACTTGCATGTGTTTGTTTAAAGTTGATGTCTGACTAAATCTTTGACCACAGAGCTCACAAGCATAAGGCTTCTGTCCTGTGTGGATTCTCATGTGAGTGTTTAAATGTGTCTTTTGAGAAAATCTTTGTCTACAGAGCTCACAAGTAAAAGGCTTCTCCCCTGTGTGGACTCTTATGTGACTGTTTAAAGTTGACGTCTGGCTAAATCTTTGTCCACAGAGCTCACAAGCAAAAGGCTTCTGTCCTGTGTGGACTCTCATGTGAGTGTTTAAATGTGTCTTTCGGCTAAATCTTTGTCTACAGAGCTCACAAGTAAAAGGCTTCTCCCCTGTGTGGACTTGCATGTGCTTGTTTAAAGTTGACGTCTGACTAAATCTTTGTCCACAGAGCTCACATGCAAAAGGCTTCTGTCCTGTGTGGACTCTCATGTGTCTGTTTAAAGTTGACTTTAAACTAAATTTTTGTCCACAGACCTCACAAGCAAAAGGCTTCTGTCCTGTGTGGACTCTCATGTGACTGTTTAAATCTGTTTTATGGCTAACCCTCTTTCCGCAGACTTCACAAGCAAAAGGCTTCTGTCCTGTGTGGACTCTCATGTGACTGTTTAAATCTGTCTTCTGGCTAACCCTTTTCCCACAGACCTCACAAGCAAAAGGCTTATGTCCTGAGTGGACTCTCATGTGTCTGTTTAAATTTGACCTGCGGCTAAATCTTTGTCCACATAACTCACAAACAAAAGGCTCATGTCCTGTGTGGGCTCTCATGTGTGTGTTTAAACTTGACCTACGGCTAAATCTTTGTCCACAGACCTCACAAACAAAAGGCTCATGTCCTGTGTGGGCTCTCCTGTGTCTGTTTAAAAGTGATATTGTGCTAAATGTTTTTCCACAGTCGTCGCAACTAAATGATTTTAGTTCTTCTTTGCTGCATGATCCTACATGTTGCTTCATTCGAACACATTTATTATTAGCCAAACAGCCTGAAGACCTTATTGCTGAATGACTGGTCACCCTAACGTGTTTCTGGAAAGACCACTTGTGGAGAAACATTTTTCCACACTCAGGACAGTTAAAGGATTTGTTGACAGTCCTAATATCTGACTCGGAAGACCTGTTCTTAGTGCAGTCACAGTCTTCGTCTCCAGTTTCAGACCCAGAGTCTGACAGCTCGAAATCTACATTCACTTCATCATCCTCTTCATCATCTCCACTAACTTCAGTCTCTGAAGAATCAGATGTTTGTTCACGAAGATTCAGATCAGCGTTCCTGCTACTCTCTGCTCCTCCACCAGTTTCTGCTGGCATCTGGTCAGCTGAGCTGCTGGTTGGAGCATCTCTGTCATCTATCTGCTGCTGATGAAGCTGTGAGATCAGAGGTTTCTCTTCATCATCCTCACTCTTTATAGTAACTACAGTGAATGGAAACCTGGCAGCATCAGTCTCCTTCAGATGGATCTGCTCTCCCTCCAGACTGGTCCCGAGGTCCTCCTGTTCCTCCTTTATGTGGAGGTGTTCTGGGTCCTGCTGGTTCTCACCAGGAGCTGTAGGAAACAATTTTATGAATTATTGATTGTAATGACTTTATATACATACATACAACCATTACAATGTGGTAATGGAGCAGTAGAATGAGATGCATTGACCTCTAAAAAGCCTCTACAAGTCATGTGAAAAATGTTACGGCCCCGATAAACAGCCCAATGAAAGTAGTTTAACTGAATAAGTGAAGGAATGTTTTTATATAATGTTTAGGGACAGTGTGCATCTATAAACATTTTACAATGTAAATGTGCCCAATTATAGCCAAAAGGCTCATTTCCATTTATGGAACTGAGTGTGTGTACATATATATATATATATATATATATATATATATATATATATATATATATATATATATATATATACACACACACACACACATGTACATATATGCACATATATACATACTGTATATATGTATATATGTGCATATATGTATATATACAGTGGGGCAAAAAAGTATTTAGTCAACCACCGATTGTGCAAGTTCACCCACTTAAAATGACGACAGAGGTCAGTAATTTACATCATAGGTACACTTCAACTGTGAAAGACAGAATGTGAAATAAAAATCCATGAATTCACATGGCAGGATTTTTAAATAATTTATTTGTAAATCAGGGTGGAAAATAATTATTTGGTCAATAACAAAAATTCAACTCAATACTTTGTAACTAGGGCTGCAACAAACGATTATTTGGATAATCGATGAATCAGATGGGGTCTCGACACGATTAATCGGATTACATGGGGACATTTTTAAAAACTGCTAGGGAAACGTTATTTCTCTCCTTCCTTCACTTTATTAAACACAACATTATTAGAAAACAGTTCAATAGCAGAAAAACAACATGCCATCACCTAAATTGTCTTATAAGATGTATAGACAGAGACCCTAAGCTACACCTATCTGTGACCTAAAATGCTTGGTCCAAGTTAAACAGCTTAAAGAGGAAGTCACCCCCTACCAGAGTCTAACTTCACTCTCACTTCATGTTTGAAAAATGCAACACATGCTGTTGTCTAATGAGCTTTGGAAGAAAAGTGTCTGATGACGTTTCACCTCTCGGATGAGAGGTGAAACGTCTTCAAGCAACTCAAAGAAGTCCAGACGCTTTTCTTCCAAAGCTCATTAGTCTACAATGACCTGGATGACTGAGAACCTTCACAGACAAACAAATGCTGTTGCCTGGCAGACCGAGAGGGCGGAGCTGCTAACAAATACACACACACTCAGGCTCACAACAGCATTGTGACATCATAATGTACCAGTTTACATCATAGCATACTTCTTAGCCAATAGCGGTGGCAGATTTAAATTAAAATACAGTGCAGAGTTTTTACCTGACAACGGCACAACACTGCCAGTTTTAGGCAGAATATTTAAATTTTAACTAAGATGCACTGAAGTGCCAAATTATTGACGACACGTGTCTGCAGCACGATTAGACACTTATTTATTTAGTTTATCAGCAAAAAAAGTTTATTTGGGGGTGACTTGCTCTTTAAGGGGAATTCTCATCTGTTTTGTTTGATCTCATCTGTAGACATTTATTATAACTGGGGATGTCAAACAACTAATTTTTCAGTGTAATTAAACATAGGCTGTGAATTAATCAAAATTAATCACTATTTCCAAAAATGACTGAAAACATACCAAATAAAACAAAAGTAAATGAATGCCATCCTCCTTGTGATGATGCCCTGGGCAACTGCCATAAAGTCACAACAAGAAATGCTGCTGATCATTCCAATGATCCCAAATAGGCTCACATTAGGCCACACGAAAGCAAATGAACCCAAAAATACATTAAAGGCACGGTCCATAAGATGACACCGGCAGGGTGAGGAGGAGATTTTTAAATTCAAACGGCTGTTGCTCACTCCCCCGCCCTTCCTGAAAGAATTGAAAGCCACGCCTCCTAATGTGCACGCGCAGGAAAAGCCGAGTCACCACCAGAGCATTGCTTCTTCATAATAGAGCTGAGCTAGTGTTAGCAATGGAGTTATCTGAGGTAAGAAAGTTGTTTTTAACCAGCACATTAAACACTTACTGTTTACAAAAGGCATTTTATAAAGAATATCTATAAATATATTTATATTTTAAAATACCAGTAACAGTTGACAATCTATATTGTAAATAAAATGAATCCTATCAAATTGTTAGCATTTTATTACGAGTAATTAGCTTATTTTTAATTGCTTTGCCATTCAAGATGGGATGAATATATCAAAGCATATAATTTATGTGGAAATCATGAATAAACACTGCATTCTGTGTAGTCCTCCTATAATCATGGTTGTTTTCATAGGGTTTCTGTTTATTGTTGGGTTAGCCCTAATTTTGATTAGATGTAAACGTGATCTGTGTCAAAATTGATTAATATGCAAGAGTACTTTTTATATTAGTATGATTTGTTTTTATTCTAATACAAATTAGAGTTCAGTGATTGAGGAATCCTCAGAGGAAGAGTTTCAACCTCCCATTGCATCCTCAAGACATGGTGCAAAAAGGAGATGCCCACCATCATCTCAAAGCCGTGGTGCATCCAGAGGCCGAAGAAGTGCGAGACACTCAGCTGTGGACCTTGGAGATGAAGATCTCTCTCTCTCTCTCTCTCTCTCTCTCTCTCTCTCTCTCTCTCTCTCTCTCTCTCTCTCTCTCTCTCTCTCTCTCTCTCTCTCTCTCTCTCTCTCTCTCTCTCTCTCTCTCTCTCGAGAGAGAGAGAGAGAGAGAGAGAGAGAGAGAGAGAGAGAGAGAGAGAGAGAGAGAGAGAGAGAGAGAGAGAGAGAGAGAGCGAAATAGACTTTGAACGTGTAAGCATAACAAAATTACACTAAATTATCCTAAATACTGTTGCTGTAGCATCTCTTTCCACTTTTGTAGCAACACATACAGAACCTGAACCCTCAGCAGGCTATTGACATCCTTACCATGGTTCTGGACAGACCCTGGTGTTCTCTTTGATGTACTTGCCCTCTCTGGTCCACCTGCCACAACACCTCCAACATCCAATCAACCTTCACGGTGTGTATGCTCCCACTGCAGAGATGCCAACTGATTTGGAAAAGAAATGCTGCCAACAGCCTCCCCAGACATGTATTTCAACTGTACCACACATGGAGGAGTTTATTCTGCAAAATGGTGTTCTTCGCCTGGCCAGAACGTTGTGGAATAAGTTTCGAGCGGTTTATGATGACCCGGACCCTGGTGAGGACAACAGACAGTTCCGCCATGCAGCTTACAGACAATTTGTAGCATGGCAGCATGGAAAACTTGGTGGAGGACGCAGAGTAGTAATCCCAAGCTGTGTTGTCTGGAGGATAAGGGGAAAATTCCCTGACCCCAATGGTAACTACACTGGTTTTATTCCAAGACGATTATAAATAAATGTATATATTTGATATTTTACATAAGTTTGTTTTTTATATAGTTTTGTTTGATGCTCTAATAAAGTGTTCTAAAGCACAACTCTGTGTTGCATTTGTAAAAATACCATAAATGTTAAAACTCCTGCACAACAACAAAAACGTAAGTCTACCTCCAGCATTTTACATACATTTTTAAATTATTAGTCCTTATTTCCCCAAAATATATCTTTATTTTCAAAAAAAAAAAAAAAAAGGAAACAAAAATAAAGAAGGTTTTGGGTTTTCTCTTGCCTCTCCCAACACCTATGTCTGTGGCAAAGTTTTACCTGTAAATAAAAAATAAACTAAATTAGCAATGGACTATTGTGTGGAAGATGTAAGGCAGATAATGTTTTATTTTACCATCACCGTGAGTCCGTAGGTGCTGTAGAAGTTCCTCTGTTGATGGTGCAGGGACTCCGGACAGCAAACCGTAACGCCTTGGATCCTCAGGCCTTAGCTTGTAGCGTCGAGGGAGACCTTTCTTGCTTGTCAAACGTTGGCTGACGATCATGGTTTGGATCTCTGGGATGTAGGAGTAGTCTTTTGCCACCTTCTCAGAATACAGCCTCCAGCATCTTTATTTTGTGTTGAATATTTTATGGTATCTGAAATGACACACGCCATAACTTATAGTAGAGCCCTGCACTGAAGCCCTAGGCCCTCGGGTCGGCCCGGCCTGACGGCCCTCGGGCCGGGCTTCGGGCCAACGACTGTGTAATTACCTCGGACACGGGCCGGGCTCCTTTATTTTTAATCGAATTCATTAAAAAAATTTGAAACACTTAAACCAGGGGTCGGCAACCTGTTCCCATCAAAGAGCCATTATTACCCGTTTCCCACAGTAAAGAAAACACTGGGAGCCACAGCAGCCGCGGCGTTGTGGGCAGGGCCTACCCTCAGACAGCAGAGCGCTGCTCACAACAGGTGACAGCAGCCAGTACCGGTCGCTCGTGTACGTCAAAGTAATCTTTCATAAGAAGATAATCAATAAAACGCTTTATATAAAATAGATCCAGAAGTTGTAGCCCGTCTCTGCTACAATATTTAGATATTTTTCACCCTGTTGGTGGTTTTACTGAGCAGGTGCCACTTTTGTCATATGTTTCTTTTTAAAACATGTTTAGACTGTTCAGAATACAAATCCAGGCTCTGTCATGTTTGATTGTTGTAATTAAACTTTGTAGGTGGGGAAGGTCAGAAAAGGATCCGATCATTTTGTTTTCCCCTCATTTACAGTGACGGAGATAACGGCGCAGTGCGCCTGGCTCTGGTGGTAATTAAGTTAAATTATATCTCTTTGCAACAATTTTCACAAGAAAACAGAACAGTTAAAAGCAGGGCTTGCGTTGACCGGATAGTTCCCATATTTGACCGTTTATTTTGACGGAGAAAGAATAGAAAGAATGACCCCGACGCATGCAGACGAACTGACATTGTATTCGTTTCGCACATCACAGATGTAGCTAAATCACCCAAGAAAAGATTCCCATCTGAACATCTGAGCTGGACACTGAGCTCAGCCCAGCTCACTGTCAGCGTGTACTACATAAGGTACACAGCGAGCTGAAGATGTGGAGAGGGGCTTGGAGCACGTCGCAGAACCAGAGCGCATGCGGGAAGATTCCTCCGACTGATCTTCCCGCTGATCTGAATCTGATGCGGCTCTGTGTGCTTGTAAAATAATGAATGGATATTTAAATAAAAAGCTTTATATTTTACTGCATTAATTTTACATCTGTATGCCAATTCTAAATGTAAAGATTGTCTGCGTAAACCTGAACAGGTCCAACCCAGTCTTACTGTGAGACCGGGTTGACGGGTCACGCTTGTGCGTAATCATATCGGTCGCATTCTGAGCTGAAGAGGATGTGAGATTCTGGGCTTCTCCTCAGACGGCTCCTGGATGTGTCGCCACATTGGAGACAGGAACAAGCGCTATTCAGCCAAAGTTTCATAATCAGGAAACATTTTCTAAGTGACAAGTCTCTCTGAGAGACAGGGTTTGGAAAACACTCGCTTCAGTGGGAGGAACCTTCCCGCATGGGCTCTAGTTCTGCGACGCGCTCCAAGCCAATCTCCACAACTTCAGCTCGCTGTGCACCTATGTGCTGACAGCGAGCTGCGCTGAGCAGCTCAGATGTTCAGATGGGAATCTTTTCTTGCGTGATTTAGCTACATCTGCAATGTGCGTAGAATAAAATGTCAGTTCGTCTGCATGCGTCGGGGTAATTCTTTCTATTCTTTCTCCGTCAAAATAAACCGTCAAATACGGGAACTATCCGGTCAACACAAGCCCTGCTTTTAACTGTTCTGTTTTCTTGTGAAAATTGTTGGAAAGAGATAAAATTTAACTAGATTACCACCAGAGCCGCACTGAGCTGTTATCTCCGTGACGGTAAATGAGGGAAAAACAAATTGATCAGATCCTGCACGTCTTTTAACACATTGGTCAGGATTGACGCACTTTGTTTTCATTTAGTTGGTTAAAAAAAGTCGGGCTCGGGTCGGGCCGGAGAATCCTGAAAACCTTTTTGGACCGGGTCGGGCTGAGGCTCCACCCTCTCGGGCCGGGCCGGACATGGGCTCAGATTTTAGGCCCGTGCAGGGCTCTAACTTGTAGTATACAACAAATTAGCTGAAAAAGTGTTTTAAATTAAAAGTAATTTAGGTAAGCCCCACCTGGAGGCACTATTATTGAAAATGTGGTGTTTCTGTGATTCTACAGTTGGCCACTTGACAGCATGTTGTTAAACCAATATGTAGCAGTTAGGAGCGTTGTGGTTGTTCATCTGAGGAAGTTGTTAATAAAAAATGACTAAAACTGGACCAGTGAATTATGAATTCATGAGTGTATGTTTCATTTAAAATATAAATAAATAAATACATACTGTATCGATCCATCTGCTCTCCTCTTCACTTCTCGATGTGAGTGGTGATTGTAGTCCAGTGCAGCAAGCAGTATCCGTGCCTCGTAAACAGGTGGGATGTAACTGAATCTTTTGCTTGCATACATTAGGAGATGGTTGTGAAACGCCTCCAAATTTGCTGTAGATGTAAAACAAGAATTTAACATTTAGAACAATTATATTATTATTTATAGCTATAATTAAATACAGTACCTGAATTTCAAATATTTTGGGACTTCTTTCAGCCAGCGTTCACTGAGAATGATGTCACTGAGGGCTTTGTGTGGAGTGGAGCCTTTCTGAATCCAGTCTTTCTCTCTGTCACTTAGTAAAGGATCATGCTGACAAGCATCCAGAGACCACTCATGTTCTCCAGTCACATGATGGAGTAGACCGATCCACATGTCCTAAAAGACATATGTGGCGATTAGTTACATTCACTTTTTTTTATATGAAAATACAAATAATGCACTTACAAAAAACTCATAAGTGTTCGCCGACTTGCAGCAAAACCAAAAATGGTTACAGATATCTTTGTTCCACTGTAATAAAACAAGTCTCCCCAGCCTTCACAGATTTCTGCACGAGCTGATTATCATTCCTTTTATTTTAATATGGAGTTTTCACGTAGGTAAGACCACAAAATCAGACAGTAATCTGTACACGTGGCCCACCCAGGTTAGCACAATATGTCTTTCAGTGCTAATGGAAACGTAAGGTTTTGGATACGTTGCTGATCAATCACACCCAATTCTAACTGCTGAATCATCTCCTCAGACTTCTACAAGTGCTACATGAGCTGCTGATTACTCATTTTAATCAAACACGCAGCTCAGGAAAGTGTAAACATCTAATTCAGCGTTCAAGATGCTAACTGAACCCCGCTAACGCTGAAGTCATATACAAGAGCTTAAAACAATACAGTGATACGGCCTATAGTTAAACGCCACACTAATCATTAGCTCCCATATAATAAAACACTAAAATCCCCTTTCGTTACTCAAACTTCTTCCAAATAAAGCATAAATAGTTTGACTAGCATCGATTCATGTCGACTTAGCATTCAAGCTAATGCTACATTAGCCAATAGGACACCAAGCATACAAAGCTTGATTGCTCTATTACTTCTTTCAGTGAAAGAAAGATTTTAAGTAAATTCATCCAAAAAACAATAAATAGCTTACCTGTCCAAAAGATACTTTGCCAACTCTTCATCCGTTTTCAGGCCGCGTAGATCACGAAAATCTCTCCATCGTGTGTAAAACAATCTCCAATGTAAATTCTACTCGACTGTCTTAAACGTCTTACAGCCACTTTTGAAGAAGGGCTTTTAAACTTTTTAAATGTTTTTTGAGATGTGGAAGGCAGTCAAGGAATCTGTAATTTGGGGTTTTGTTGCTCCATGTTTCTGCAGTAAGCCGAGTGAGGCGCGTGGCACTGTTGTGCTTGATGATTGACAGCTGCCCCTGGTGATAACGCAGCGCTATTGGTCAACGCGTTACGCCGGGGACACACCGGCCGCGGAAGCTCCGCGAAGCACCATGAAAATGGGACCGCCTTCATTCGGCGCCCTTGTTAAGCTATTCTATAGACCACATGGGCCGCCGAAGCGCCGGCGGTCGCCGGATGAATCGCGTCAATTCTGGCAGGAAGTCAAACCTAGACATAAGAGGCAGGCCGGTAAATTTAACAAAATAAAGCATTTCAAAATAAAATTCCACAATAGTCAAATGTGTTCGTAATCAGACACTGCAGAAAAACCACACGAACACACACACACACACATCGAACTTGTGTGCGTGTGTGACCACGTGAAGGGGGGTGTGGTTTCGGATGTCTTTTCACCGGAGCAAACAGGACAGAGAGGCAGAAAGTCTGAGGCAAGCAGTTAAGATGGATGACTTTAAATTAATTATGGAAGTTGAAGAAGAAGAAGAAGAAGAAGAAGAAAATATCATTTCTATAGCGCCTCAAGATAAAAATCACGAGGCGCTTAAAGCTCAAAGTTGAGAAACACAAGACCCCCGAAAAACATGGTTATTTACGTACCCATGTCGGAAGAAACTGCTAGGATACAGCTGCAGAATTGGAGCGGGATCCAAGAGATTCAACTGGCAGAAACAACTCATACCATAGGTTCACACACACGTACAAACACTCAAACGTAGAGGAAAAGAGCTGAGAAAAGGCAGAGAGGAAATGGAGGACACCAAGTGTTTAAAAGAAAAACTACAGCTGAGCCGAGGCGCGCCTCGACTGGGGCGCGTCTGATCTGAACTGAGGAGCGGCGAGCAGCGGCTGAATTTCGTGAGCGATTCGCTTCGCGGCCGATGTGTCCCCGGCGTTAGGCTTGCAGAAATATTGGCTGAGCTCTACAGGACAGGGGAGTGACTTAGGAGAAAATTTAAATATTAAAGATTATTTACTTTTTTTAATAAAATTGGGTCAGATGGTCAAAATCAAACATTTTTAAAGTTATGCTACATTTAAATCTTACGGACCTTGCCTTTAACCAGTATATAACTGCACTCTCGCACAACTCGCCTGCAGCAACAGTTAGGACTCCTCCCTCCCTTTTAAAAGCGTTTTCGCTTCTGAGGACATTGTGGTTGTAAAACCACATGCTAGTAGTCTGGCCCCGGTGTGATCAACCAGTTTCTGCAGGAATGTGACGGCGGAACCAGTTCGCAGCAGCGCGAGTCCCCCCCCCCCCCCCCCCCCCCCCCGGTTAATCTAATAGCGTCGCGCTTACGATTTTATAGACTTTTTTTTACGAGCTTAGGGCATGTCTAGCCTGTGTAATAATCCGGGGCTTGGGTGAATCACTTTTGAAAAGTTTTTAACTTACCCGGACACAGAGCTCTCTCCTTCCTTGCTGATGATTCCGACATGCTTGTGTTTAAGATGCTGCATCATCACTGTAGTACTCCCGTGTAGAGCTGAAACAACTAATCGATTTAATCGATTATTAAAATAGTTAACAACTTTTTTAGTCATCGATTAGTTGTTTAATAATCATATTTTACCGCATAAAGTCTATTTTTACCACAATCTGACATTGGTTACAATCTGTTAAATTTGCCGCCAGTGTGTGGCAGTAATGAGCCACTGATCTACCAGTGGAGCCGTAGAAGAAGAAACGAGCCAATAAGTACCCTTGTTTTTCATGACATAACACGTTACTGACGCTCATCTTGCAGTGAGAGACGGCGGAACAAGAAGAAATACGGAAGAAATATAGAAGCGACAAAACTGAAGAGAAACCCTGGACAAAAACCTCACGAGTATGGGAGCACTTCACTCTAGATGCCTTGAAAAGACGGGTGACCTGCAAAATATGCTAAAACCATCTAGCATGGCACGGAAACACGACGTCCCTAAGTGAACATTTGAGACAAAAACATGTGGGGGCTGATGCAGCAGAGGAAGAGCCAGCCCGGTAAGTAACAGAAAATAAACAAGCTAAATATAGTGGTCCATCACTACACGCAGATCAAATTTGGGACTTAGTGTTAGCTGAGTTCGTTATAGTGGATGTTAAACATGTTTTTTTGCCACGTCAGTCTACGGTGTTCTACTTCTGATTGACTAGATGCAATCCTGAATCTCCGTGTTGTGTATCATGCGCTTGCCAAATTTAGCACGTCTGTTTATAAGAATGTTCTCGTTAAGAGAAAAATGGCACAAACCCATAACTATGTTCCTCGTTCAAAAAAGGACAACTCCGCGGAGAAAAATATACAGACGAGCTGTGTCCAGGTGAATATAACGCGGCATAGCTGTACGCTTTCAATTTTTAAATACAGGAGAAATTCAGAAAGTAATTTTTTTTACTATTAAAAGGCTGTTTTACTGTCTAACGCTGTAAAATGCCTCACAACACATTTTTATCTAAATAAATGATCACTGTATATTGTTAATTAATTCCAATAATATAATATTGATTTAGTGTTGTAGTGTGTGTGCTGCTTTATTTTATATGTGTACTTATGTCAGTCAATTTGTGTTTCTTATGCAGAAAAAAACAAGCAACGATGGACAAGTACATGGGGAACAAGACACTCACCCCCCAGCAATTCTACATTATTTTTTATGGAATTTACCTCTTATATTTTGATGCCAAAAAATTATTCTGGACTGATAGTTTGCACTGTTTAGCTCATTTTACACCGCTGACTGTGTTCATGTGCAATAAAATAGATTGCAGTCAACTGCACAATTCTCTTATGTTTTTGTTTTTCTTAACTGAAATGTATTCATCACTTGTATAGGTTAAATAGCTAAACAATAACAAACTGATTAATCGAAAAAATAATCGACAGATTAATCGATTATGAAAATAATCATTAGTTGCAGCCCTACTCCCGTGCCATGCTAACTCTGACCTACAAATGTTGCAGGTAACGAATGTCTTCGCCTGATTTAACTGAAAATGCTCCCAAACTTTAGAAGTTCTTACTTTTTTGGGTATCGCTGCTTCTGCCATGTTCCTCTTCCAAACACCTGCCGGCTCTCCCTCGCGCTGATCTGACTTGCTCCGGTCTGCGCGCAACGGCGGGCGGGAAAGGGGGGGGGGGGGGGCTTTTGGAAGAGTTGTGTGACACAACAAATCGATGACGCAATTCGTTGCCAACGCTTTTAGTAATCGATTTTCATCGAATTTATCGATTCGTTGTTGGAGCCCTATTTGTAACATAACCTTTGTTGGCAATAACAGAGGTCAAATGATTACTATAGGTCTTTACCAGGTTTGCACACACAGTAGCTGGTATTTTGACCCATTCCTCCATGCAGATCTTCTCGAGAGCAGTGATGTTTTGGGGCTGTCGCCGAGCAACACGGACTTTCAACTCCCTCCACAGATTTTCTATGGGGTTGAGGTCTGGAGACTGGCTAGGCCACTCCAGGACTTTCAAATGCTTCATATGGAGCCACTCCTTTGTTGCCCGGGCGATGTGTTTGGGATCATTGTCGTGTTGGAAGACCCAGCCACGTTTCATCTTCAAAGCTCTCACTGATGGAAGGAGGTTTTGGCTCAAAATCTCATGATACATGGCCCCATTCATTCTGTCCTTAACACAGATCAGTCGTCCTGTCCCCTTAGCAGAAAAACAGCCCCAAAGCATGATGTTCCCACCCCCATGCTTCACAGTAGGTATGGTGTTCTTGGGATGCAACTCAGTATTCTTCTTCCTCCAAACACGACGAGTTAAGTTTATACCAAAAAGTTGTACTTTGGTTTCATCTGACCACATGACATTCTCCCAATCCTCTGCTGTATCATCCATGTGCTCTCTGGCAAGCTTCAGACGGGCCTGGACATGAACTGGCTTCAGCAGCGGAACACATCTGGCACTGCAGGATGTAATTCCCTGCCGTTGTAGTGTGTTACTGATGGTGACCTTTGTTACTGTGGTCCCAGCTCTCTGCAGGTCATTCACCAGGTCCCCCTGTGTGGTTCTGGGATTCTTGCTCACCGTTCTCATGATCATTTTGACCCCACGGGATGAGATCTTGCGCAGAGCCCCAGATCGAGGGAGATTATCAGTGGTCTTGTATGTCTTCCATTATCTGATAATTGCTCCCACAGTTGATTTTTCACAGCAAGCTGCTTGCCTATTGTAGATTCACTCTTCCCAGTCTGGTGCAGGTC